TCTAAGTGCTTATTGGAGGGGGCATGTCCATGAGAGGGTGTGTCTTTGCTGGGTGGGGCACATCTTCATATTGGGAGGCCTGACTTTCATGCAGGAGATGTGTCTTTGCTTGAGGCATGTCCTTATAAGAGTAGGTGTGTCCTTGTGTGAGGAGGTGTTTCCTCCTTATGTGAGGCGTGTCCTTGTGGGACAGGGTGTGTCCTTGATGGTGGAAGTGTATCCTTGAGGGAGGGATCAGTCCTAGTGGGAGGAGTCTTTCTGGGATTAGTCGAGTTAGTGCAGGAGAAGTCCTTGTGGAAAGTGGCACAAGTTGTGGAAGAGAACATTTCCTTTAGGGAGGGGGCTTTTGCTTGCCGGAGGAGCCAATACTTGGGAACGCAGGCATGCCCATGTGAAATTGGGTGTGTCCTTCTGGGAGGGTGTATGTCCTTGTGGGAGGAGGCATGTATTTGCAGGAGGTTGCTTTGTGGGAGGGCACATGTCATTTTGGTGGGGGACAAATCCTTGTGTGAGGGGCATGACATTGTAGGAGATGTGGTCTTGTAAGATGTGGCATGTCCTTTTTTGAGGAGGCATGTCCTTGAGGGTGGGGGCTTGTTGGTGACAGGAGAGGTGTGTCAATGCAGGAGGTGTGCCCTTGTTGAAGGGATGTGTCCTTAGGGGAGGGGGTATTTCCTACTGAGAGGAGGTGTGCACTTTATTTAAGAGGCAGGTCCTTGAAGGAAGAAGTGTGTTATTATTGGAAAGGTTATGTCCTTGTGGAAGGTGTGTCATTGAAGGAGGTGTTTCCTTATGAGAGGGGATGTGTCCTTCAAAGAGGCGTGGTATGTGGTATGTTCCTGTGGGAGGAGACAATTCTTTTGGGGAGGGATATGTCCTCTGGGAGGTGTGACCTTGGTGCAAGAGGCTTATCTTTACAGGAAGTGAGAACTTGTGGAAGGGGCATGCTCTTGTGAAGGGGTGAAAATTGTGGGAGGATACATGTCCTCTTTGCAGGAGGAGTTAATTTTGTGGGGTGGGCATGTCTTTCAGAGAAGGGTCATGTTTGTGGAGAAGGTGTGTCATTGAGATGTGCCTTTGTGGGAGGCGTATGTCCTTGAAGATGTGCCTTTCAGAAAGGGATGTGTCATTGCAGAAGGTGTGTCCTTGTTGGAGGGGGCGTGTCTTTGCAGGGGGCATGACCTTGTGGGAGGGGTGTGTCCTTAATTGAGGCAATGTGTCCTTTATTGAGAGGTCATGACCTTGAGGGAGGTACATGTTCTTTATTGAGGGGCATGTCCTTTATTAATGGGGCCTGTCCTTGTGGGAGTGGGCATGTCCTTGAGTGAGTAGAGGTGTCCTTTTGTTAGAGGACATGTCATTGAAGGAGGGGATGTATCCTTGTATGTGGGGTCATGTCCCTGAGGGAGGAGGCATGCCTTTCAGGGAGAGGGTACATCATTATAGGAAGCATTTCCTTGTGGTAGGGGACTCTATCTTTATTGGAAGAGGCATGTGGTTTTGGGTGTGTACTTGTGGGAGGGGGCATGCTCTTGTAGGAATAGGATGTCCTTCTGAGAGTAGGCCTGTCCTTCTGGGATTGGGCATAAGTTTGTGGGAGGGGCTTGTCCTTGATTGAGGTGGCAGAACATCTTGAGAGGGAGCATGTCCTGTTTAAGGAGGCGTGACACCTTGTTGTAGAAGGCATGTCCTTGTGGAAAGGGCAGGTCTTTATGGAAGTGGGCGGGTCCATGTGGGTAGGTGTGTGTGCTTGTTGGAGGATGCACATCGCTGCAGGGTCATGGGATGGGTCATGTCCTTTTTGGAGGAGCAATGTTATTGCATGAGGCATGTCTTTGTGGGAGGAGGCATGTCCCTCTGGGAGGAGGCATATCATTGCAGAAAGTGTCCTTGTGGAATGAGGCAAGTCTTTGCATGAGGAGGCATGGCTTTGATACGGGAGTCACATCTGTAGGAGTCGTGAACTATAGTGAGAGGAGTGTACTTTTAAGAAGTGTGTCGTTTGTGACAGGGGGTGTGTTTTTGTGGGAGGAAGTGTGTCATTGCAGGAGTGTGTCCCTGTGAGAGGGGGCATATTACTGAAAGATGGTGTGTACTTTTCAGGAATGGGTGGGTCATTGTTGGAGGTATATCCTTGTGGGAAGAGGCATGTCCTTTTTTGATGGGGTGTGTCCTTGTGATATGTTGTTGATATAGGAGGCAAGTCATTGCAGAAGGCCTGTCCACATGAGAGGGGATGTGTCATTGTGGGAGGGGGTGTTTTCTCCTGGAAAGGGACACAGCCTTTTGGGAGGAGGCATGTCCTTGTGAGAGGTAGAACCTCTCTGTGGAAGGTGTGTCCTTCTGGGAGGAGGCAGGACCTTGATGGAGGGGGTGTGTAACTTGAGAGAGGGGGAGTGTCTTTGTCAGGGTGGGCATGTACTTGTGGGAGGCAGGGTATCCTTGTGGAAGGGTGAATCACCTTCTACCAGGAGGCATGTCATTCTGGGAGGAGTAGTGTCCTTGTGGGAGAGGACTTTGATGTAGGAGGGTTGCTATCTGTTGCTTTCATTGGTTAATTAATAAAGAAAACTGCTTGGCCTGATAGGTCAAAACACAGGTAGGCGGGGAAGACAGAACAGAATGCTGGGAGGAAGAAAGCAGTGAGACAGACACAATGGAGCCAGCCACCAGGTCAAACAAGGTGGATCTTTCCCATGGTGCTACACAGATTATTAGAAATGGGTTAAGCAATATGTAAGAATTAGCCAATAAGAGGCTGAAACTAATGGCCCAGGCAGTGTTAAAATGAATACAATTTGTATGTTGTTATTTCGGGTGTAAAACTAACCATGCGGGAGCCGGGTGGGACGAAAAACAGGCCTGCTTGCCTTGTTACTACAAGACATGTCCTTATAGGAGGGACCATGTCATTGCAGGAGGTGTGTCCTTGTGGGAGGGACATTTTCTTGTGGGAGGGGCCATGTTATTGAAGGAGGTGTGTCCTTGTAGAAGGGGCATTTTCCTTATGGAGGAGGCAGTTCATGATAGTAGAAGTGTTCTTGTGGGAATGGGTGTGTCCTTGTGGGAGGGGGATGTCCTTTTGTGAGGAGCTATGTCCTTGAGGGACTGAGCACTTTCTTGCAGCGCAGCAGGGGGCATGTGCTTGTGGCAGAATCTTATCCTTATGGGAGAGCTTGGGCCACTTTGGGAATTGTCATGTTGTTGAGGGAGGATGTATGTCACTGTGGGAGGGGGGTGTGTCCTTGTGAGAATAGACATGTCCATTTGTGAGTGGACACGTTCTTGTGGGAGTGGGCATGCACTGTGACAGGAGGCATGTCATCATATGAGGAGGCCTGTCTTTGATACAGGAAGTGTCTTTGCAGTGGGTGAGATTGGAGGGAAGGGGCAGCATGTTCTTGTGGGAGAGGGTGTGTCCTTGAGGAGGAAGGTGAATTATTGTGTTGGGATGTCCCTGTGGGAGAAGGCACACCTTCCTTGTAAGAGGTATGTCATTGAGGAGGGAGGTATGCTCTTGTGAGAGTAGGAGCATCCTTGTGGGAAGGAGCATGTCCTTGTAGAAAGGTACATTTTTTGTTGGGGGGGGTGTCTCCTTGTGATACTAGGAGTGTCCTTTTGGGAGTGAGGGAGTGTGTTCTTGTGGGAGGAGGCATGTCTTTTAGGAGACATGCAGGAGTGTCTTTGCAGGAGTGAATTTGTGCTATGGGGCAACTACTTGTGGGAGACCTGTCCTTTTTGGGGTGGGACTGTCCTCACAGGGGCATGTCCCATGGCTACCTTTAAGTGTCAGCCTCAAAGCCGGGTGGTGGTGGCGCACGCCTTTAATCCCAGCACTCGGGAGGCAGAGGCAGGCGGATCTCTGTGAGTTCTAGACCAGCCTGGTCTACAAGAGCTAGTTCCAGGATAGGCTCCAAAACCACAGAGAAACCCTGTCTCGAAAAACCAAAAAAAAAAAAAGTGTCAGCATTACCACCATGGCTACCTTTGTGTGTCAGCCTCATCACCATGGCTACCTTTGTGTGCCAGCCTCATCACCATGGTTACCTTTCCACATCAGCCTCATCACCATGACTACCTTTATGTGTCAGCCTCATCACCATGGTTACCTTTATGTGTCAGCCTCATCACCACGGCTGCCTTTTTGTCAGCCTCATCATGGCTACATTTGTTGTGCAGAAGAGGAACCTGAAGCTAGAAAGTGGGAACACAAGGTGCCCAGTGACCAAGCAGAAACTTGCACCTGGGCTTCTTCTAATCACCCTGTTCCAGTGGACCTGCTGGCAGTTCTGCTCTTGGGGAAGCAGAGACTGGGAAACTTAGCCAGCTACTCAGATGCGTGGCCTCAGGCAGAAACTGTTGCGTGTCTCCAAGTTCAGATAGGAATAGAGGCTGGGCCATAGGGTAGCCATGATATGGGAGCATCTGACAAGCCAGCAGGGTAATCCAGCCATTAATCCCTTGAGCCAAGGGCTCCTGCTGGCAGGGCCCAGCTGGTGGGAGGAACAGGAATCAGCCCCATCATCCTCAGCCTCTGACTGTTCCTGTAGGCTTTTCCCCCCTTTTATGTGATGCTGGGGATGAAACCCATCATCAAGCCCTTCCTTCCTATGTTCCTTTATGGATGATAGAAAATTGAGCCCAGAGAATTTTGATGGCAATCTCTGCTCAGTAGCCCACCTTTCCAGTCAAGACAGCCTCCCCATCTCCTCAGCACATACCCAGAACCAACTTCCATCACAGCCCCCCACCTCAAGGGTTGAAGTTAGAGGCAAGCTTCCTTTCCTTCTTGAACTAAGAGATTCATTTGAGAAGTTGGAGGTTTGTCTACTATGTGTCTCCAGAACCTTGAACAGCATAAAACAGGGCAGTCAATGCATACTGACTGGGTGACCCACTGACAGGAAGAAGGGACTAGCAAATACAACCCTTCTGTTGGCAAATAATCTTGGGGTCCAGGCACTATACCAGCTGTTTTTCTGCTGTTTCACTCATTAAAGCCCAGGCAGCCGCGTGTGATGATCTGTGTGGCACTCAGGCAGGAGCTGCAGTTCTTAGATGGGTTATGGTCAAGAGGCCCTTTGACAACAGGCCTAGACTCTGTGTGGAGCTGTGGGAGGCACTCCAGAGGACACTAGACCTAGAGAAAACACATCGCAGGGCCTGTGAAGCAAAGCCAGCTTGAACCGGACCTGGGAGAGGACATAGGAGGATGTGACCGACGCCACTGACGTTTCATAGTGATGGTATGGATGCTGGGCAAAAGACAGATTGTGTGCCTGGGAGGCATAGCTAAAGACATTGGGGGGTGAGTTTGGGGAGTTCCTGTGCACTGAAGCCCTGATCTGAGCATTTGTTTTCTTTAGCAGACTCTTCGCAGAGCAAATTAAACTGGACCCCAGAACCCAGTGCCCTACCCCAGCTCTTCCCTCAATGAGCTCTGAAGCCTGTTGAGGATCTGGTCTGAGATTGAGGCTCAGAAGCACACCCCTTGCATGTAAGATTCAGGTTCAGCCAACAGATGGTGCTTAGTCTTATGATCAGGGTTCCTACCCCCACTGCTCTCTTGGAGGCAGACCAATGGTTTCGGTGGCAGTATGCATATGTGTGCCTATACGGCTATGTTCAACGGGCCCTTGGGCACCAGGCACCCCCGCCC